CTGGACCCTGTGGCCAATCGAGAAAGCATCCTAGCTAGGATTAAGGGTGGGAAGTGGCCTGAGGCCATAGGGAGGTATGGAATTACAGCCTCAGGAGAACTCCAGAGATTTGGCCATGTGGGAAAGTCCAGGGTTTTTCCTTTCTGGGGCCCAGATCCCAACCCCATCATTAGGATATGAACAGACAATTTTCAGAGGAAGAAATTAAAGTTATCTGTAGTCATATGAAAAAAAGTTCTAAATCACTATTGATTGGAGAAATGCAAATCAAAACAATTCTGAGCTACCATATCACATCTATCAGATTGGCTAACATGACAAAACAGGAAAATGATAAATATTGGAGAAGATGTGGGAAAACTGGAACACTGATGCATTGCTGGTGGAGTTGTGAACTGATCCAACCATTCTGGAGAGCAATTTGGAACTATGCCTAAAAGGCTATAAAACTGTGCATCACTTTTGATCCAGCAATACCACTACTAGGTCTGTATCCCAAAAAGATCATAAAAAAGTGAAAAGGATCCACATGTACAAAAAATATTTATAGCAGCTCTTTTTGTGGTGGCAAAGAATTGGAAATTGAAGGGATGCCCATCAACTAGGGAATGACTGGACAAGTTGTGGTAAGTGATTATGATGGAATACTATTGTGCTTTAAGAAATGATGAGCAGTCAGATTTCAGAAAAACCTAGAAAGACTTACATGAACTGATGTTGAGTGAAGTGACCAGAACCAAGAGAACTTTGTACACAGTAACAGCTACATTATGTGATGACCAACTTTGATAGGCTTAGCTCTTTTGAGCAATGCAATGATCTAAGACAATTCCAAAAGACTCATGATGAAAAATGCTATCCATATACAGAGAAAAAACTATGGAGTCTGAATGCAGATTGAAGCATATTATTTTCTCTCCCTTTTCTTTTCTTTCTTGTGTTTTTTCCCTTTTGTTCTGATTCTTCTTTCACAACATGACTAATGTGGAAATATGTTTAATATGATTGTACATGTATAAGCTATATCAGATTGCATGCTGTCTTGGGGAGGTGGGGAGGGAGGGGGAAAATATAGAATTCAAAATCTTTTAAAAGTGAATGTTGAAAACTAAAAATAAATTAATTAATTAAAAATTATGGCCTAAAAGAAATGTACATGATTGTAATATGAAAAAGAATTATTTCTCTGTCATTCTGACATAATTTTGCCTATAAGGAGCATTGTCAGAATCCTTATGATTGTTCGGATTTTCTCTGAGGCCTGACCCCATGCTGTAACATAAAAATAAAACCTAGCTTTTTACCCCTAGAATTTCTGCATTATGGAAAGTACATATTTGGCAACAGTTACCAACCACATGAGCTCTGAGAGGAGATATTTTGCCAATAACAAAAGGATAGAGAATATCCTCTTTCCCCCTCCCCCCATTTTACTGAATGGAACAGGGCATTATGCAATGAGGGTAGAGGAAGAAATGATTTTATCTTACTCTATTTGAGAAAAAGTTAGACTTGCCCTTCCAACTTTTAGGAATGTTAGAAAAGGAATGTAGTATATATCCATGAAATTCTTTAACATTAAATAGTATATGTGTATGTATACATATATGTGTGTGTGTGTGTGTGTGTGTGTGTGTATATGTATATATATATATATATATATATATATATATATATACACACACACACACAAAATTTAAAAAAAACATTAAATAGTATAATACTAAGGCATTGGGTGCAGTTAGGTAGTGTGACAGATAGAGTGCTGGGGCTAGAGACAGGAAGACTCATCTTCCTAAATTCAAATCTGGCCTCAAGACGCTAACTAGCTTAGCTTTGTGACCCTGGGCAAATCACTTTAATTGTTTGCTGCAGTTTCCTCATCTGTAAAATGAGCTGGAGAAGGATATGGTAAATCACTCCACTATCTTTGCCAAGAAAACCCCAAATGGGGTCACAAAGAGACTGAAAAGACTGAACAGCAACTGGACATAGAGGCAACAAGCATGTATTAAGCACTTACTATGTTTTAGGCACTGTGCTAAGTGCTAGGTTTACAAATATAAGGGAAAAGAAAGAACTTCTTAACTCAAGCAGTTTTGCTTTCTAATGGAGGAAGACAAATACATAAAAGGGAGTAAAAAAAAGTGGCTGTAGGAAGGTATTTGGGGAGAGGATCAGAATGGTATAGATGTCCAGAAAAATCAAAAGCAGAGGTAGGAAGGGACAGCAAACTGGAGGTCCTGGACATCTCCCCAAAATAAGGGCCCTAGGAGGAACCAATAAAAGGAATGAAACAAGCATTTATGAAGTGCCTACTATGTGCCAGGCATTGTGTTAAGTGCTTTACAATTATTATCTCATTTGATCCTCACAACAACCCTTGGGAGGTGGATGCTGTTATTAATCCCATTTTACAGTTGAGGAAACAGACGTAAATAGAGGCAAAGTGACTTGCCCATGGTCACATAGTAAGTATCTGAAGTTAGATTTGAACTCAGGTCTTCCTGACTTCAAGTCCAGCTTTCTATTTACTGTACCATCTAGTAGGTTCATTGGATAAAAGGGGCCAGCAAGGCATAGTGACATTCCAGGGTAAGGAAGTGGAAGTTGAGGGGAGTTTCAGGGTTAAATTCTAGTCTAGAAAGGCAGAAATAGATCTAAGAGGAATGATGATATTAAGGTGGAGAACATCCTTCCTATTCCTAAACAGAAAGTTAAACAAGGTTGGCTTCTGAAAGATTTATCCCTGAAGCTATTAGGCATTTACCTCCTTATATATTAATTAGTATTGACATAATCAGAACTGAACTGGTACAGAAAGGACTCCGTATCTGTAGCCAAAAGATCTGGGCTCAAATCCCTGTTATTTACTTACTAGACATGTTCTTTTAGGCTAGTGACTTTATCTGGACCTATTTTCTAATCTCTTAAGATAAAGCTAGGTTATTGACATCAAGAAAAATCCTATATGACCAAAAATGTTCACAGTATCGAGACAAATGAAAAGCCTGAAAGACAGAGCTTCTGTGTAATTAATAATCAACTTATTAGACTATCAAATAATACATTGATAGTCAGTGGTCTCTCTTGATAACCAAAGAGAAAGACCACAAAGCTCATCAAATGCTTAAATACCTTTGGAAAAGTGGATGCCCTTGCCAGGGGGAGATCAAGGTGATTGGTGAACAATCAGTGGGTGGATGGACCTTTTCTAATGTGGGGGTGGAGTAAAAGTCTTCCTACTTCTGCTGAGATGGTAACTTGATCATGAGACTCAAGCCTCCAGTACTCCCAGCACCTCTAAGCACCTAAAAAGAAAGAATCCATCTCACCCAGACCACTCAAGTGAACAAAGGTTAGGAGGGGGTGGGGTTTCAAGGGTGTGAGCTTTTAAGGCTGCACTTCACCTAGATTAGATCCTCTTTACACTTTAATCAGAAATAAACTCTTCTAGATGGGTGGGGTCCTGCCCAAGATTGAAGAGAATGTTCTTGGAGGACTAGACCAATCTCATCAAGAGCCCAGTCAGTCAGAGACTGACCTACAAAGACTGGTCCTTGGATGAGGAAAATAGAAAGGAAAAAAAACCTCAATACTAATTTGGTTATTAGTATAAGAGAAAAATAATCATTTCTCTTATTAGCATTACTTATAATGAAAAAATGTGGAAACTAAATATATACCATACAATTACAGAACAGATGAACAAACTATGGCATATAAACATAATAAAATATTTCTATTCAGTAAGGAATCATGAGTATGAAGAATTCAAAGAAACATGAGAAGATGTACATAAAATAATATAGCAAGGACAACAGAACACAAAGGGAAATTTACATATTGACTATTACAACAGAAATAAGGAGACCAGATTCAGGTTAAATACAAGATCAATGTTAGTACCATAATGTCAAAGTTAAAGGAGCTCTCTATTTATAAACTCATGGAATTTTTTAAGGACATTTGCTTAAGTGTTTGTTGGGAAATGTCAAAATAAAATGTATCAATGAATTTAAAAGAAAAAAAAAGTTAGAAAAGACTCTCCAAGGTCCTTTGATCATACTAATCCAACCTCAGACACTTTGTTCGATTAGTTCCCTCAGCTTTTAAAATGAGAATAAAAGCACTCACTTCACAGTGTAGTGGGAAAGTCAAATCAAATCAAATCAAATCAAATGAGATAATGTATGCAGAGTGCCACTGCAAGTAACTTAAAGATATGTTCATTTCCAGGAGTTGCATAGAACTTACAAAGCAGGTGCTTATCGATGGGGAATGATTAAACAAATTTTAGTACATAAATATAATGGAATATTTTGTTTCTATAAGAAGCAATGAATTTGAAGAATTCAGAGAAGCATGTTATATGAACTGATGCAGACTAAACAGCAAAATAAATACATATATATGACTTCAACAATGTAAATGAAGAGGAATTGCTTGGAAACTTGAATGTTATGTAATTATAATAAAATAATGAATAGTGTATGGGGGAGGGGACAGCACATTAGTACAGGTCCTGGTACATAACAGAAACTTAATAAATGCTTATTAACTTTCTAGAGCATAGGCCCTTCAAGGCTCTCTTTCTCTAAGTAGTTTTGAGGCTGGTAACAGCAGATGAAAACTGGGTGTCTAGTCTTTGAGAATGAAGGACAAACAACACGAAGATATTCTAGGGGAGAGAGGAAAAATATACTTCCCTTTTTTAGGGTACCAAACAGCAAAGAGAAAGATGTGAGGTTGGCAGTAACAGCTGTTATCCCAGATTTTATTGGGAAGTCTCTGGAGAGATTGCAGAGGTGAAGGGAAAATTTTGATAGCTACACGTAACAGAGCAACAAATATTGGTAAGATCACAGAGCTCATTCTTTGCAAACTGCTCATTTCCATCCCACCTTTGTCCACTGAGTTTTTATGTATGAAAGGTCTCTAATTGTGATCACCTTGTTATAGGGTTGTAGGTGTTTCTGAATGAGAACACAAAATCAGGGTAGGTTTAGGAAGACCATTTATTGAAGGTCAGCATTTATGAACAGTCACTTTAAACAAAAGCAATGGTCCTGCCATCCTTTGTTTCTCATAATAAGACATCTTTACAAAAGAAAATCAAAAATTGTTAACTTCTAAATTCTGATAATTACATATTTCATTGTTGAGGAATGAAACAAGAGTGGGTTTCTTAAGACATCTTAGCACCTCTATCTTTATGGACACAAACCGCATTGTTGTCACCTTTCATTAGCTTCAATAACAATAAGCTTACTTGCCTCATGAATCTAAGATAGTAAGCTTCACTTACGTCACAGTAGTGTGACTGTAGAGCTGGACAAGGCCTGGGAAGCTGAAATTCTAGACCTGTCTCCATCACTTATTCATACTCAACCTATATCTCCAACTCATAATCTGGGTTGACATAATCTCAGAGAACATTTATCCCACCCAAAGTTTTCACATAAGGGTGGGATAATTTGATTCTTCAAAGAAACACAAGTGTTTTCTCTTTTGGACTGCACCACTGGGCAGCTGGAAGAGTACTGAGCTGACAAGTGGACATTTTTTGTTGTTCTTATCTTTTAAGTCACTTTAATGCTGACTTAAATCATCCCTTTGTAATTATTTTGGTGTAAAATTCACATAACACAGAAGGTTCATTGATAAATAGTTCCTAATCTGTGATCACAGTGGAAAAAACATTACAAAAGGGGATCTGAGGAAGAATTTAGATGTGGGAGGCTTTAAAACAATATATTTAAGCTAAAATATATTGCTTACATTATAAGGTTGTCTTTTTTTTAACTTTCATGTTATTAAAAATTGAGCTTTAACATTTTTGTGAAATCTGAAGATGACCTCACCAGCAGTCTGAATTAATGACAGTTTGTAATGGTATAGTGCTTTACAGTTTATAGCACCTTCACATGCCTCCTTTCATTTGATCCTCGCAATGGTTTATGAGGTAGGCAGGGAAGGTATTATTTACCCCCATTTTACAGATGCAAAAACTTAAAGCTTAGAGAGCAGATTAGTCAATACTAGGTAATACTGTTCTTTTCTTTCTTAATTACAGTGATATAATAGAAAGATAAGGAGCTACATAACCTTAAGACAGGTCACATCACTTTTCTGTGTCTACTTCCTGTTGTATAAAAATGGGGGTTTAACTTGATCATCTCCAAGTTTTCTTCTAAGCTAATTAGATTTTAAACTAATTATCCAGTTTTGGATGACTCAGAATCCTTTCTTTTCCTTCTACAGTCTATCTTAATAAGACTTCTACTGAAAAGGAAAGACAGAGGTTGTCAAACTCAACTAGGCTCTTTAGTAAAGAAAAATTAATTTCCCAAAATGAAGATTTTGGATTTCCTGGATTTCATGTCTCTGTACTCTTCAGCTCCTATATATTCTTCCAATATTTTCAAATATGTATTAGATCTAAAGATTTGAGAATGGTAACCAGGACTCTAAAGAAATGAGAGTCTTTTCTTTTCTCTTTAAGTTTCCATACTATAATTAGCCCTTGTAGAGAAGGAATAAACAGAAGGGTCCATTCCTTATTAGAATCACTGAACTGAAACTTAGCTGAATAAAATTTTACCCTCAGGGATTGAACAGATTGTCTTCATAGTTCAACAAACCATTTTAGTTGAAAAATCAACCCTTAGGAGTTTTGCATCAAAAAAATTCTACGGTCATACAGGTTATTTTTACATGTAAAATATCAGGCCATAATTTTTTGAAACTTATTTACATTATAGAAATCTCTTAATAATAATTAAAATTAACTGCCAATATTTGAAAAATATTCTGCTTGTGGTAGATACATTTTTAAAATGAAAGCATTAAGAATACATTCCTATTACAGTATTTGTTACAGTACTAAGTAACAGCATTCAACTTAGTTAAAGGGTCAATTACCAATTCCTTTCTTTATTTCCATCAAATTATATATTCATAATAGTATTTTTGAAACTAGATATTAAGAATGGAAATTATTTCCAAGTTCTTCTTAAATAACAACAAGTTGTTGATTCATATTTTATCTTCTTATATAAAGCAATCTGATGTTTATCACTGTCAGTCTTGCAGTTTATTACTCATCTATGGCACTATCCCCCTCAAAATCTGTCTAATCGCCCAACAAGAACTCCTCTCTCAAGCATGCTCCCTACTGGTACCCACCCTAAACCTCCTGGCTGATATAGATAATTGTTACTACTAAGTATCAGAAAATCTCAACAGGAGAATATAGATATAAATCACCAAAGGGATAGCGGTTTTTAAATTTTCAGATAAACATAATAACAGACACATACAAACATTAAAGGTTTGTTACATCTGTGCTTTTCTTTTTAAAGGCTGAAGATTCCCCTTTAATTGTCAAAGCAGCATCTTAGTGTACTGTGCAAAGGAATTCGTAGAAAACCTTTCCTCCTACTGGCAGAATTAGACGCTATTTGAATGATTCATATATTCTAAAAGCGACCGGTCTAGGACTCTTCGGATCAGAGCTTCCTCTAATATATTAAAGTCCTGAAATGGAGAAAAAATACTTTTAGATAAGCAAGATGATAGGTACTGTTTTTTTTTCTAAATAGCTTTGACTTTTAATTCTAAATTCATCCAATCTGCCCTGTGAGTACCATCAGTTCAGAGTGACAGGCATAATCATTATCAAACCAATTAGCAGCCAACAAGACCTTACTAGGTTCCACCTACAAACATGCACTAAATCAAATCAACGGGACCAAGCAGAAGTTGGAATATGATTTGCAGGCTCTCAGTTGTAGTACTGAATGCTATTTTGGGTTGCCTTAATGTCAACACTTGGAAAAGAAAACAATCTCCCAAGCTCTGCATATGCCCCATTATGAGTCAGAGCTGGAACTGAATCCTATTAAGTCAGTGATCTCCAAACTGAAGTCTATGGTCCATCAGCTGTCAAAAGACTTCAACTGAAATCCACAAGGGAAAACACAAAATAATGTTTTGGGTCTCAGTCTTTGGCTTCACTAGTCTGGAAACTCCTCCCACCCACGTGAATCAGCAACTCTTCAATAACTCATAGTCTCACACAGCTAACTTTTCATTAGAGGTTAAATGACTTGCCCATGATTAAAAAGCTGGTATGTGTCAGAGTAGGGTTTGAACCCAGGTCTTCTTGACTCCAAGACTAGTCCTCAAAACATTATGCCATTGCTACTCCTCTAGTTAAAAAACAAAAAAGAATGTATGTAAGTGTAATAAATATATACATATATATTTACACAAATATATATTTACATATATATTTACACAAATATATATATACACACACACACATACATACATACACATACATACACATACACACACACACACACACACACACCCCTATACACCCACACCCACACACACACACCCATTCTTAACCTTGAACCTTGACTTGTATGGAACCAAAGAGACTACCTGGGGCTCACCCACATTGCAGCCTTGTAGTATTCTCTGCCAAAACGAAGTGGGCCTTATGGTTTACCCAGAATCCCATAGAGACAAATTATTTGCCTTGTTCAATTTCTCTTATATTGCACACTTCTTTCAGTAATCCCAGGTCTTTCCATTTAATCCCTTCCTAAGATTTGGGTATACCACACTTCCATATCTCATCCTTGTTGTTCATTCCTTTTGCAAAATATATGGGTTACCATAGTAAGAAGATTTGAAAGCCTAGTAAAAAGATAAAACTCTAAAATGACTATGTTAAGGGAGCAATGATCAAATTTTTAACTTAGAGATTTTATGAGGATGTATTTTACATTGACATTTTCTTTTGAAAAATTATATGTAAATCTACTTTTAGTACTCTCCTAACAGCTATGTGGTACAGTGGATAGACATCTGGGTTTAGAGTCAGGAAGACCAGAGTTAAAATCTCAGACAATTACTAGATGTGTGACATTGGGCAAGTTACTTAAACCATTTTTGCCTCAGTTACTTCAACAGTAAAATGGCGGTGATAATAATAGTGACTACCTCTCTGGGTTGTTGTGAGGATCAAATGAGTTAATATTTGTAAAGCACTTAGTACAGCGTCTAGCACAGAATAGATGCTATATTATATACAGGCGCATGCATGCACAAGCTATTATTATTTCCTATATTTAAGGGAAAATCAAACTGATTTTTCTACCTAAACACATTAATTCTGCTAAAAGTGTTTTCTTCATATCTAAACTGCACACAATACTACATATGTCTAGGCAGAATTAGAGACCCTACTTACTTTGTGCTTATTTCCATTACTGATGAAGAAAACTATATACATATCTACCTAAAGAATATGGAACTCTATTTATAACTAGTTTGGGTTCCATCACCTCAAATCCTAGTATTTTGGATGTTTGCAACTATAAGAGATGAAATGAAACCAATTTTGTGTTCCATTAAGGTAAGGGACAAAACGCTAGGCTCATGCATAGCAGACAAAGTTACATTTATTATAACATCAAACAAGTAGAGCAACACAATAAGCTATCTCACTAGACTTGATAACCACTACTCTGACTTTAATTTGATAAGAAAATAGAATTATATCATCTAAAAAATGCATATTGTGGGGTTGTTGTTGTTCAGTCATTTTCAGTTGTGTCTGACTCTGTGACCCCAATTTGGTGTTTTCTTGGGAAAGATAACTGAAGTGGTTCCATTTCCCTCACCAGGTCATTTTATAGATGAGGAAACTGATGCAAATAGGGTTATATGACTTGCTCAAGGTCACACAGCTATTGTCTGAGGCCACATTTGAACTCAGGTCTTCCTGACTTTAGGTCTAGCACTCTATCTCTCTATCACTGAACTACTTACCCATCCCCTATACATACATTCATTCATACATACATACATACATACATACATACATACATACACACACACATACACATATATCTTTCTCTCTTTTTAAAATGTGATTCTGTTATATAGTGAATTATTTTCACCTCTAATATTATCTAAATTGGAAAGAGGCTTATCTCCCCTGCTTTGGAGAACAACCACTGTCCAATATAGCTAATAATTTTGCTTAACATTATATTTCTATATCTCCATCAAAGTCCCATTCATGACTATTCTTGACATGCAAATGACCTTGATTTATTCCAAGGTTTCCCAGAACAGTACAAGTTCTAGAGGTTCCTGCCAAAAAGGCTAAATATGCTGGCTTGGTGATAGAGTACACATCTTATACTCTTAGAATCAGAAAGTTCATCAACATCTGAATTCTTTTTGTCATTGCACCTCATGAAGTCTTGATAAAGCTCAGAAGGGTTATGATCTGAATTAACAGAGTGACAGATCAGAAGAAACCACAGTTTCACAAATACAAAAATATTTGTAGTAGCATTTTTCATGATAAGTGAAGAGTTGGAAACAAAGCTGGTGCCCACTGATTGGAAAATTGCTGAACAAACTAACACATATTAGTTTAATGGAACATTATCATGCAGTATATTCCCTAAATATAAAGAATTCAGGGAAACTTGGGAAGACTTCTATGAACTGATACAGAGTGAAGTAAACAAAACTAGAAGAATAATTTACACAATGACCACAATAATGTAAAGGAAAACAACAGCTGAGGAATGAAGGGACTAATTCTAACTTCAGTGAACTGTTAGTGAAACAGGTTTCCTCCCCTCACCAGGGAAGTGGTGGGCTATAGAATGAACTATACAGTATATTGTCAGGCATGACCAAGGTTGATTTATTTTGTTTACATATACTTTGTTGTAAGGGAGAGTTTTATTGGTAGAGGAAAAGTGGAAAATCATTAGAAAGTGAAAGAAATCTTTTAGAAGAATTAATACACTTATTTAATTTTAATTAAAAAATGAGGGGATTAGAAAAATAAGATGGGAAAGTAATACCTACAAAAATGATAACTAGCATTTACATTGGGATTTAAAGTATACAAAGCAGTGTACATGTCATCTCATTTGATCGCCACAACAATATTGTGAAGTGGATGCTATGAATATTTCCATTTTACATATGAGGAAACTGAAGTTTAAAGAGGTTAACTGAATTGTCCAGTGTCCCACAGCTACTATGTGCCTATGGCATGATTTGAATTTAGGTCTTCCTTACTCCAAGCCAAACATCGTATCATTCACTGTGCTACCTAGCTGCTCTTAGGTACCTGGAGTACCTAACTCACAGAGCTATGAAGCTCAGATGAGAACAGCCAATCCTCTTCGCAAACTTTTAAAAAAGGGGGGGGGTAGCTCTTGCCCACCTAAATTATTTGGGGATATCTGAAATGGATGAAGTATGTTTTCATAGTCTTAGCAAATACTAGCTCCTAAGACTTCAGATAATTTTTTTCCCTGAATTTTGTTTGTCTGATTTGGGGTGGGGGGGAAGATTTAATTACCATAACAATTTAAGGAAAAAAAAGATGAAGGTGTTTACTTACAATAAATTCATCATAAAACATTGTGTGTCTGATTTGCAGGTGCCGGATCAAACTGTCACTGGTGTTGCTTGAATCTCCATTAGGTATAAAATGACAAAGTGGACAGAACTGTAAATAAACAGAGAAGGCAATATTGGCAAATGAGATAGCTATTTGTGCTAGGCTAGAGAAATATGAAACTGTCTAACAAAAGGTACTTTAATTCTGAGTCTATTTTGGGATCACTCTATTTATGATTTTTGATATCAGAACAGCATGTCCATTTCAGTTATGCCTCAATGAAAGTCACACTTAATCTACCCCACCACAGGCAGTTAGCAGGTGATGGTGGAGAGGAGAGAAGAGAAAGAGTTCCTATCTGGAGATAACTATAACAGAAAGGGTTTCTGGTTCTAAACAAAAAAAAGTAGGTGTTCTATAAGACAGGGATAACAAACTTTCCATTACTTACCTCAGAGGACTGTGGGGGAAAAAAATGCTTTTCAAATCTTAAAACACTTCCTAAATTCAAGTTATTAATATTACTTCAAGTTGCCTTCCCTTTGAACATCTAGCAGCAAAAGAATAAAACTAAAATTTGCTAGTCAATTTTTTGGGGGAGCATACAAAATTTCTGGTAGGTTAGATCAATATTTCAGAAAAATGTTATGTACATCTTGCCTCTCTGCCACTCCCTTCTGTCTCCTTGCCTCCCTACTCTATTCCTCCTCTCTTCCTATCTTCTTTTCCTTTTATTTCCATGATATTCTTCTGTTGCTCTTTTGCTCTTTATGTTTCTTCTCTTGTTTTTCCTATTTTCTTTCAGGTTGTCACGACCTTTCGTTTTGCTGTTTTTTTCCCCTTCAGGTACCTGAATTTCCAACTACGTTTGGCTATTGTTTTTTTCTCCTTTTGCTCCACTGGGTATGTATGTACTTGTTTTGCCTTCTTTCCACTCTTACTTTAGACCACACATTCTTAATGTAGGGTCCATGAACTTTTTTTTTCCCTCTAAGTAAAGGCAATCTCCTCCTTAAGGGAGGTTGTAGCCCCTTAAGGGAGGCAACTCCCTAATGGAGGGGTCCCCTACAGAAGATGGCTGCTTCAGGGAGACACCCACTAGCCAACAGATGCTAGGGATCATGAACTTGTTTTAAAAAATATTTTGACAACTATATTTCACTATAATTGGTTTCCTTTGTAATCCTATGTATATGATATTTTAAAAAACATTATTGGGATTAGGGGCACATAAGCTTCACCAAATTACCAGAGGGGTCCACAGCACAAAAAAGGTTTAAGACCCCTGCTTTAGGTCCTGGTGAATTCAGATTTATTGTTCTGAGGTCTCCATTTGCTCTTGACTTTTTGGCTCCACAGAGGTTCCCATGGGACATCTTTCCTACACAATTGTGGAGGCCCTGAGGGATTGATATACAAGTTATCTGAAAGAGGGAAGATTCAGAAGGAGCAAAAAACCCCCATTATTAATACCATTACCAACATAAAAGACAGGTAATGGAAAAACATAAATAACTACTGACCCATATGTCTACTCTACCACCTATATAAAATCACTATGTGAGTCAGCTATATATGAATAAAAGGTATCTTTCATGAAGGGATATTAGGGAACAAGCAGGCTTTTGCAAGTAATATTAACAATGGACTGCATCTTTAAGATTTTGCAATTAACTGAAAGGCTTAGAGAATACAAGATCCCATTGTTTTATTGTTCATTAATTATAAAAAAAGCATGTGATTTAGTGGAATGAAATAATAGCAAGCCAACATTTATACAGGATCTTAAAGTTTGCTAAGTGTTTCTCATGCATTTTCTCTTTTGATCTTTACAACAACCCTGTAAAGCAGATCTTATTATTTTATTAATTTTATTTTATTAATAAAGAAACCAAGACAAGGAAATTAAATAATTTGTCTGGGTTCACACAACTATTCAGGGTCTGAGGTGAGAGTACAGGATTTGAACTCAGGTCTTCTGAACTCAAAGTCCATTTCTTTAGCCACTACACCAAGCTGCTACTGCCTTAAATGCTCTTACATCAAAAAATCATTCAAGATTACAATAATCCTCTCTCATCATACACATCAGCAGAAGCATAAAATAGAAAGATGTGTATGCTCACCAAAGTTTTTCTCTGCTGTGATCAAAGTAACAGGAAAGCTAATACAGTGTTTCCCTTTGTAACTGGAAAATAATTTAATCATATACATATATATAGCCACATAATAATACACACACACAGAAATATGTATATACATATATTACATTACATAGATTGAGAAGTATCAGGATTAAGAACAAATCACCAGATCTGGCAAATAAGAGATAATCAGTAACTTTGGAGAGAGCAGCTACAGTTGAAAGATAAGGTTGGAAGCCAGGTTGCAAATGATTGAGGAGTGAGTGAAAGAAGCGGAAGCAGTTGGAAGATAACTTTCACAAAGAATTTGATTGAGAAATAGAGGTGAGATATAGTATGACAATTTGAGGGGATGGTAGAACCTAGTAAAAGGTTTTTTTAGGGTTTTTTTTGTGTTTTGGTGAGGAAATTGGGGTTAAGTGACTTGCCCAGGGTCATACAGCTAGTAAGTTTTCAAGTGTCTGAGGCTGGATTTGAACCCAGGTCCTCCTGAGTCCAAGGCCAGAGCTCTATCTATTGCACCACCTAAATGCCACTAAAAGTTTTTTTTTGAAAGCATGGAGATGATGCCATGTTTGAAAGCAGTAGGGAAGGAATCAGTAGATAGAGAACAAAAATTGAAGAACCACAGGTGGTGATTGAGGATCTAATCTTCTAGAAAAGATGGTAGGAGAATAAGATTTTAGGGTTGTCATAATCTGTATAGCCCAAAACATTTACAATAGAGCCAACGAGATAAAATCTCATTTGGTTAAGAGTTCATGTTCTTTAATTTTTCCCCTTTGAGCAAATGTCATGTCTCACTTTCAAGTGAATTTGGTGCGGATGATGGGGCATGATTGGCTGTTTGTCCTTCATTCTCAAAGAGGACCATGTCATCAGTGAGGTGATGCCATGATATGCAAATGAACCGGATTTAAGTGAGGTAGGGCTGTGCAAAGTCATCAGCCTCAATCTCTCCTCCAGGGCCACCTGGGTCCAGTGGCTAGATATGGATCAAGACAACTAGAGATAGCCCAGGATGCAGCAGTGGACCTTGGTCTTTACAAGTCTTAGTTTGACTGAGTCAGCACCCATTCAGTGATTAAGGCTTAATAAAAAATGAGGCAAAAAAAGCCCTCTTTATTTTGGCTAGGCAATGAGGTTAAATGACTTGCCCAGGGACACACAGCTAGTAAGCTTTATTTGTCTGAGGCTGGATTTGAACTCAGGTCCTCTTGAATGCAGGGCTGGTGCTCTATCCACCGCGTCACCTAGCTGCCCCCTAGAATGCCCTCTTTTAAAAAAAAAGATCTAGGAGGAGAAGACCCTCAGGATTTCTAGCCAAAACAGAAACAATTGTTATTCACGTTCATTAGGTGCCTATGAGGGTCCAAATGGTGACCCAGTAGGGCTTGGTCTGGGACCAGAGTGATTTGGGGTTAAGGCTAGTCTTTAAGAGGAAAAAAAAATGAAAAAAGTTTCAGAGATTAAAATTTACATTCCCTTTGGGCAGAACATTGGCAGGTAAGGGTATGATACCCTATGTGGAAAGAGAAGAAAGATGAGACATACATACCCAGAGTCACACAGCTAATAAGTGTCTGAGGCTGGATTTGAACTCATGAAGATGAATCTTCCTGACCTCAGGTCCAGCACTGTACCACCTAGCTGCTTGTATTATAGAATACATGCAAAGTAAATACAAGGTAGTTTGGGACAGGTGAGCACTAGAAGCTGGGGGATCATCTAAAGCTTCATGGAGAAGGTGGTACATGAGCAAAGTTTTAAATGAAATTAGGGATTCCAAGAAGCAGAGGTGAGTAGAGAGTGGATTCCAGGCATGAAGAATAGACAGTGCAAAGGCAAGCAGAGGGGTGATAAAGGGTAGTAGATAAGGAACGGCAAGGAGGTCATATGGCTGGATTGCAGAATGCATGGTGGGGGAGTAATGTATAAGAAGACCAGACAGGTAGTAAGTAAGGGCCCAGATTATTTAAATAACAAGGTGAATGTATGCTTGAGGCTAGAGATCATTGACTGTCACTAGAGTTTACTGAGTAGGAGAGAAAAAATTGTCAGACCTGACTGATAAACACTTCAATAAGTTCTAAAACAGCAATTCTATGACATCTATGAAGGTTCCAGAGTCAAGAAAGCATTAACTCTGCTTACTGAAAATAGACGACAGTTTAGTTACACTGCTCATGGTTGTTGAGCTTTACCAGTCATCTTTCTTCATACCTAGAAATGGCATTGGTTTCCATTAAGGCAAGGAATGAGCAGGTTGCAACATGATGTTACATTGTTATTGCAAAATTATTCTGTGCAAACCCAATCTAGAAATCATTGTAGCAGTAACTATGGAAACTCAAGGGAACAAAACAGACTGGGTGAAAAAATTAACCACAGTGCTCCTTGGCATATATAAATATATATAAAATAAGTACATGACTTTAAGGCAGGTGTAACAAGTTAAATTCTTAATGTCTTGTATAATTAAATACACTAGGCAAGGACAAAGCACCAACTCAGGTCTATTTTATGTAGGCACCCAGGAGCTTCTCTGTTTTCTGATGCTGGATCCTTTTAAGATTCCTCAGGATGCCATTCCTCCTTTTAAATATGGCAGGGGTGGGAAGTAAACGCTTATCATGAGTAGGCAATATATTACAGACTCTAAAATTTTGTTTGACCATTTATTTAGGAAATCTGGACATGGATGATTTACCTAGAAACAATTACAAAAATCTAGCACTTCGAGCCCTGTTCTTCCTTTATCAGTGGTCCAGATTCCCTTCTCATGATTTTTATGATGAAACTATAGTCTGTACAGAGAGGGTTCAGATGATAATACAGGACAAAGGAATATAGAAAGCTAGAAACTAGGATAAGAAAAACTGTTGATTAGGCAAAAACCTCAGCATCAAATGTATTTGAATTAAGGTCTGATATCTAAAATACTTAAGAACTAATACAACTATATGACCAAAAGCCATTCCATAATAAATGTGGTCAATGGATATGAGCAGTTCTTCAAAAAAGAACTGCAAACTATTAACAATCCTATGAAAAATTGTTCCAATTCACTAATGCAGGGAAGCAAATGGATACAACTTTGAGTTTTTACCTTATACAGCCTGAAGATTGTTGAATGGAAACTCTTTGTGTCAGTCAAGAACTGGAAGCAAAGTAGGTATTTGCTGACTGGAGAATGGCTAACCAAATAGTGGTACATGAAAGTAATGAAATATTATTATATTGCTAGAAAAGATGCCAGAGGATTCACCAGAAGATTCATATGAACTGATGCAGAGTAAAGTTAAGCAGGACTAAGATAACAAGATGACTACAACAATGTAAATAGAAAAAAAACAATAAAATGAAACCGAATTGTATGAAATTATAATGACCAAGTTTGGCCCCAAAGGAAAGATCATACCTCCCCTCTCTATTAATCAAAAAGATAGGAAATGGGTGACTTTTTAAAAGTCTGTAATAACATGGGTTCCAGTATAGGGGACAGATATTTTCAGAAATAAGCATGATGTAAAAAGACATCAGTAAAACTCTAAAAAGAAACAAGAAAAATCTTTCGACACCTACTGCAATCAGAGACATCTAGCTGTCACACTAGATATAATGCTGGACCTGGAGTGGAGAAGAACCAAGTTCAAATCTGACCTGATACTTTCTAGCTGTGTGACCCTGAGCAATTAAGTCACTTATTGTCTGTCTGCTTCACTTTCTTTCATCTGTTAAATGGGGATAATAATAGCATCTACCTTACAGGGTTGTTATATTGAGGTTAAAGTGAAATATTATTTATAAAATGCTTTGCAAGCCTCAAAACTACATAAATGCTAGTTATTATTATTGTTATTGCTTCCACTTCATCTTTCACTCACAATTTTTTTCTATACTTAACCTACACCAAACAAAATGGGCATTTCAATATACATATATGCACAGGAAAGGGTTATACATACATACACATACACACACACATATACATACACATATTTCAACCCATAAGTCTTTATAAATCTTGCTCTTCTTTCTAAGTGTAAGTTTCAAAGCTATTCTGCTTGTCTGTGATTCCTTCTGGATTTTTTGTTTTCTTCTCTTTCTGTGAGGGGAAATCCTATCTCTATCTCTCTCTCCTTTTAACTCTTCCCAAATGAAAAAAATTAATACAAAATCCTTATATCAAATGTATATAGTCAAGTAAAACAAATTCCCATAGCAGCCATGTCTAAAGATTTATGTCTCATTCTGCATCTTAAGACCATCAACTGTCTCTCTCAAAGGTGGTAGCAGGCTTCATTTTCAATACTCTGGAGTCATTTCATTCACTTCTCAATTCCTTGCAATCTGCTTCTAAAAACCATATCTTGACTATAACTTCTCTAGAAATGGAATCAGGATTCCCAATTAACATTCCCTCCTCCAAAACCTGCCCATGTTTTATTGTAGTCACTCTGGAAAAAGGTGAACTCTAAATGTTAATATAACTTTACAAATACATTTGGAGTTAAAACTGTAATAACACCTAACACCAAATTTTTCTCAAAGGTAATTTTACAATTCCATCTGAATTGAGGTAATGTGGAGTGGTAGATGGAGTGCCAGGCTCAGAGGACAAGGATTTGGGTTCAAATCCTGCCTCAGATATTAACTGGCTGTGCAACCCTGAGCAAATCATTTAACCTCTTTATGTCTCAGTTTCCTCATCTGTAAAATGAGAGGGTTGGAGTGGGTGGCCTCGATGGTCTCTTCAAGCTCTATACCTAAAATCCCATGAGCCTCCAAGAGCTGTTTTTGGCTTCTTTCAGTAATTTGAATACTAACTCTCCAAGCCAACCCTGTGTGAATTTTGAATGCAATTGTTCAAATATGTTATGTACTAAGCAACATTCCTTCAGATATAGGATTATATATAGCTATAACTTTGCAAAGTACCTTAAGAGTTTAATATAATCCCTTTATTCTACAAATGAGGAAATCGAGGCCCAAAGAGTTAAAGAGATTAGCCCATGGTTGCAGTTAAAAACAGCAGAAGCAAGATTTGAACCTACCTCCTATGACTCCAAATGCAGTCCTCTTTCCCAGCTACCATACTGCCCAGGAAACTGAGTGCTCTTTTCACCATAAAGCTTTCTAAGATTAATTCTCCTATGCTAGTCTCCTTCAAAGAAGGCAACTCAACTCTCAAATGTCTATGAGTGTTCTGACAGATGGAGAAGTCATGACAGCAAACTTTCTGATAACATAAGAAAATTATAGCTCCTTTCCTACCATATTTTGTTTTTGGAAGCTCTCACAGGAAATTTTTTTTTATTAATTTTAAACTTAAATACAAAATGAGAGAAAAAAAGAACAGTTCCACATATACAGCAGAACATGAGAGGATTCAATATGCAACCATAAAGTTCATTTCAAACTGTTTACTTTAAAAAAAAACAAACCATGTAATATTACACATTGTTTTCAAAGCTACCCAGCTTTTCTGTGCTTCCAAGTTTTTTTTGTTCTCCATTGTGCACTTTTAATTTTTTTCCTCCCTCCCCCCCAGCATTCGAAAAGGCTACAATTAAACACAAATACACACACACACACACACACACACACACACACGTAAGACCATGCACCATACTATACATATTTCTTTTGTTAATTCTTTCTCTGGAGGTAGACAGCATCTTCCTTCAGAGGATCCAAGTCTTTCCATGTTATTCTAAAATCAACCAGCTCATCATTTCCTATATCACAGTAGTATTCCATCATATATATCATAACTTGTTTAGCCATTTCTCATTTGAAGGGCATCTATCATTTCAGCCAATCTGATAGGTGTAAGATGGTATCTATCTAAGGAAATTTAAGAACTACTTACTTTTCTAGCTGTATAATTTCTTCAAAATATATTAAATTATAATTAAGCCTTTTTATGAAGCAAGCATAGAGATAACTTGTCAAGAAAATGGAGCACAAATTTGTAACTGACCAACTTCATGTGGAAAAAAGTCACCCTTGAGTTAAAAAATGCCAAAATATGTCCCTTTAAAAAAATGCAATATAGGACTTTTGACAAGATAAAAATGTTTTTAGACTCTGTTATCATTTAGTCACATCCAACTCTTTGTGACTCCATGGACCTTGTTGTTCATGGGGTTTTCTTGGCAAAGTGGTTTGCCATTTTCTTTTCCAGTAGATTAAGACAAACAGAGGTTAAGCAATTTGCCCAGATCTGAGGCCAAATTTGAACTTGGGTCTTCCTAACTCCAGGCTCAGCACTCTATCCACTGAGCTACCTAGTTGCCCCTATGTTAGATTTTGTATTAACAGACTGCTAAAATTAGAGTTTGATGAATGTTTGCATATGAAAGTTAGATCTGCACTATATGCTCTCTTACAACGTAACATCATCATATTCCTTTTCATTAGCTACATCTTCAACCACAAAGAAACTTGTTCCTTGAAAGGAACTGTGTTTTCAATTAAACAGAGTAACTATTAGCAAATAATTAATCAGGGTCACATTTATATGTCAACTGTCAATTGAAATAACCTACTTGCACTGAGGCTTTCTTAGTTTACTATAGTCAGGATAAGAATGAAGCTCCTCCTAACAGGGACCTGGGCTCATTCAGGACAAGACTGTATAGACAGTAATCGTGCACACAGAACCTTGTTTACACCAACAAATTAAAAGTGACAATCAGTGGGACAGTGGGACAGAGGGCCTATCAAAGAGTCAGGAAGTCCCTGGTTCAAATCTTGCCTCTGAAATATATGGCTCTGTGAACACAGGCAAGTTACCTACATTTTCAATGCCTCAGGAAGGAGTCTAAGATTATAAATGACACAGCAGCTGTTGATCTGTATAAGTGGATAGCATTTCTGCACCTAGAATTCCCCACACCAATGAATCTGTTATAGACAACCTCTCACCAAAATTTTTAAAAATTTGCAAAACCAACCCTAATTAATGAATCAGTTAATAGTTGTCCTCCATTTAGATATCATAAGCATATAAAGGAACAAAAAAAAACACCCAACATACCACTGGCCTCCTTTCTGATCTGTGATAAGTGAGACAGTGGTTCAGCAAGCTATCTTCATCCAACTCTTTCTCACAAAATGGACATATGCATCTGGAACAAGATATAAATATAACTATAATGTAGTGGCGACTTAATTAGAAATAGCAAAGTACATTGGCACTGACAGTTGATCTGAGGTCTAGTCCCAGCCCTGTCATTGATTTGATATTATCATTGATCAATTACTTAAACATTAATGTGCATCAGTTTCCCTATCTATAAAATGGATATGATACAATTTCTTTCCTAAAATTTCCATAGGCATATTGAGCAGAATATAATGAGATGTAGTCAAAGTATTTTAATCTTCCAAGAAGAAAAGTACTATTTGTGTATGGCTTATCTCCCCAAAACCCAGCAATGCACCCCCATGCCCAATACTATTTAGCTGAGTTACCTTTCCCTAACCCAAATGTTCCCTGATAATTTCTGGATTATTCCTTCACATGGAAAACTAAAATATCATCATTATTTAAGTATATAATGAATAATATACATCAAGGCTTAAAGAATATGGGGTGACCACATTCAAGATGGCAGCAGGGCACAAAACTGGACACCAAAAAGGGAACCCTAATTCCTCCTCAAGCAATTTCAGCGGCAGCTAGGTGGCACAGTAAATAAAACACCGGCCCTGGAGTCAGGAGGACCTGAGTTCAAAGCCAGCCTCAGACACTTGATATTTACTAGCTGTATGTCCCTGGGCAAGTCACTTAATCCTAACTGGCTAGCCAAAAAAATAAAAATAAAATAAAAAATAATATAGAGAAAGAAAAAGAAGAGACTTCAGATTCTCTATTCTACAAAAGTATACTGTTCTCAACACATGTCTATTTTCAGCAATCCATCCCTGTTGTTTTATTAGAATTTCAAAGGTGATATGCAGACAAATTGTACTTTTATTCTAGAAGCCCATTTAGTTTATTATTAATTCATTAAGAAGGGAAATCCAATTTACTTCAGTTTCTGAAGGCTAAAACTAGCAGCTACCATGCCGTACCCTACACAAAATTCATTCTTTTACAAGACTGTGATATTGCTGAAAAGATGCAGAGTAAATTTTGGTGAACTGAATCTAGGCTTTTTAATTTAAATAAACCCAAAGGCCAGTAATTTTGTAAAGGGAAGTATCCATTGTAATGCAAATAATCACTCTTAAATTTCTCAGTATTCTAAGCTTAGGTTTTCTGAAAACCAGAACTCAGCTGAATTCCCTAGGTGGTATGAGTATGACCAAAAAAGTAGCCGAGTTAATGTTCTGACTTCATTGCTTCATGACCACAAGCATTGACTTCTCAACAGAGCACAATATGCAAGGAAGTTTTATGGCTTGTACCACTTCCTTGATGGTGAAAGAATCCAGGGTTTTCAATTCTGACAGATCTACAACACTCTTCTAATCAACAGAATAAACAGATGGATTTTCACTGAAAACTATACAAAAGCTAATTGTCATCTCAACTGCCAAAAAAAAATGCCTGAAGGTGAAAAGGGTCCAACAGGAATAAATACTCACCTAATATTTCTTTTCTTTTCTTTTTTAGTGAGGCAACTGGGGTTAAGTGACTTGCCCAAGGTCACACAGCTAGTACGGGTCAAGTGTTTGGTCTGAGACTGCATTTGAACTCAGGTCCTCCTGACTTTAGGGCCAGTGTGCTATCCACTGCACCACCTAGCTGCCCCATTACTCACCTCACGTTAACGAATACTTAGGATACCAACCACTTCCCAGCCTTTTCTATGAAATGGAAGTGAAATGTAAGAGAAGTGACTAGGGAAATGAGGACTTTAGGAGAAGAAAAGAAGAATTTTTAAACTATGATTTGTAAGATGAAACTCTGGGTCAAAATACAGTCAAAATACTGTTTGGTCAGAAGGTTCAGTTCCGCATTCTATTTCTGGTTCTTCCTCAATGTAACATCTTCCTCTTGTATAAACTGAGGGGGGAAATAGATCTAATCTCTATACCCTTAAAAGGGATTTTACAAAATTTGTTAGATGCTGGACACTGGCAGCTAGGTGGTTCAGTGGACAGAGCCTAGGCCAGACACCGGCAAGACCTAAGTTTAAATATGACCTTACATACTTACTGTTTGACCTTAGCCTAGACACGTTGGTTTGCTTATTTCCTCGACTGTAAAATGGGGATAATGACAATACCTGCCTCTTAAGGCTGCTGTGAGGATCCCATGAGGTAATACTTGTAAAGCACTTAGCACAGTGCCTGATACATAGTAAGGGCTATGCTTATTCCTTTCTCTTCCCCGTCAAACTTAGCCAAATGATTACTAATAGCAAATGTTATAGTTACTTGCTAGTAATAATGCCCAACATTCACATAACTCCTTAAGTTTTGTTTCGCCTAATATCACTGAACCTCTCAACAACCCCATGAAGATTTTGCTGTTGTTCAGGTGTTTTCAGTCACATCTGACTCTTCATGACCCAACTTTTTGGGGTTTTCTTGGCAAAGATACTGGAGTAGTTTGCCATTTCCTTCTCCATTTTACAGATGAAGAAACTGAGGCAAACAGGGTTAAGTAACTTGCTCAGGGTCACAGAACTAGTCAGTGTCCAAGGGTAGATTTGAACTCAATCTTCTTGACTCCAGGCCTGGCACTGTATCGGCACTGCACCATCTACCTGCCCAATGAAGAAGATACTACAGGCATTACTACCTTCACTTCATGGATGAGGAAAGTGAGACTTAACAGAATGCCAACTGCCATAAGATTTTAAAAATGAAATTTGAAATTCAATAAATTAAGTTCATTCAAATCTTTATAAATTAACATTCATTAATAAGCTTCATGTTACTGAAACATTTTACCTTGTTGTTACTTCTCCAAGCTCTTGAAGAGGTCCATATTTCTCTATATATTTCTGACAACTCCTTATATGAGCTCTCATTTCACTGAGACATACCTATGTCAAAAAAAAAAAGAAATGCCTTTTAAATAAGTCCATTTTTTGCAAGGAATTTCCTAGAAGTTATTTACTTTCTGTCCAGTTTATGACTGTCTTCATTTTGCATCATAAGAAGCCATACAATAGAGTAGAAAGTACAATCAATGCTTTTGGCATCAGGAGATATGGGTTTAAGTCTCAGGTCTGCTGCTGACTGGCTACATGAGACTGGGTGAGTCATTTACATACCTGAGCCTCAATTTCCTTTCCAAAATGAGGGGCTGGACTAAATCAGGGGTGGGAAACCTGAGTCCTTTACAGAAAAAATTTGGATTCAATCAAAAGGCTGCACTTAAGGATCTAGAAGGCCACATGTGGCTTCAAGTCTGCAGGTGTCCCACCCCACAACTAAATTATCCCCATGGCCCTTTATAGCTCCACGAATTGACTGTACTCTATGAATTACTCTGAGGCCAGGTCTTTAAAAGAATGGTAACGGTACAATCTGAGTTAACGTACTATCAAAATTTTAAAAACTTTGCTTAAAAGTGAAAATGACCTGATGGTCAATGTATCACTTTGACATGTTCATATGTCACTTGAAGTTTAATAAATTATGTAGTCATTTTATACTTTTTCTGATTTCATTATCCAAGAATGGATGTTTAAAAATAAGGAAATTTTGGAACATGGTAAGTGGACAGAAACCTTGTGCATACACTCCTGGGCAAGACAGAATATGATGGGTTCATTATATGCTCATTAACATTATATGAATTCACAACATATGCCATAATAACTCCATTAAGATTATACTCAAAAAATGGTTAGTGCATTACATTTGCACCAGTCAACAATAAAATGGCTATCCATTTAGCAATCCTAACGGTAAGGGACGTGTTGCTACATAACACCAATTTGGATAAGTGTTTCATTAGGTACTGATAACATCTTGAGTCAAAAGAAGCTTTGTACCGGGGTGGGCTGATTCTGTGCTTTCTTTTCGTCAAAGCTACAGAAGTTAAACCTCAAACCCCAAATCCATGATGTCAAAGGATGTTGCAGTTTCCGGACAAGGCTGGATTAAAAAGAGACGATAAAGACAAAACAGATTTATGCTTTCACAATATCCATCTTAGAGACAGCTGCAAAAGCAGGGGAGGTACAGAGAGGAGAATCTGCTTGCCTTGAAACAGATATATATTTTAGAACACTCAACACTCAACCATACAATTCTTCTGCTATAAAATTAGACCACACTTTTAAATTTAAACTCTGTATCACCAAGATAAACTTCACTCCTCTTGTGCACTTACAATTAGGGTTCATAATACTCATTGGAGCATCCATATCTGTTGAGCACCTAGTATGTGTTCTGAACTGTGCTAGCTAATAACTCCTAAAGGGCTGACAATCTATTTGGGGACAAGATTGACAGCAACAGCTTGAGACCACTGTCTCCAATAGTTGCCATGAGTTCACAGCTACATGATGTGATATACATAGTATGAGTGCTGTACCACCATTCAAAGAAACAAGAGGAGCAAGAATCAAATGAGGGCTGAAGTCATGGAAGGTTTCCTGGAGCAGGAGTGACTTGAACTAGGACTAGGCTTTGAAGGATGAATAGAGTCGAACAGTCTGTGAGGAGAAGGAAGGGCATCCCAAGCAAGGAGAAGAACCTCACCTCACCGCTACCCCCAAAAAGGAATAGCTCAGAGGGGAAAGAATAAGAATCATTTCAAAGGAGAAATTAATATAGTCATCACTGACTAGGTATGAGGAATAGCATAATAAAAAGAAGAGTCAAAGATGACAAAGATGGGGCAGCTAGGTGGCACAGTGGATAGATATAGCACTGGTCCTGGAGTCAGAAAGACCTGAGTTCAAATGTGGCCTCAAGACTAGACTGTGTGACCCTGAGCAAATCACTTAAGCCTGATAGCCTCAAAAAAAAAAATGAAAAGTGAAAAAAAAGAAAAAGATGACAAAGGATTCAAGCCTGTTTAGCTGAGGAAATGCTTGTGTCACTGCCTGAAAAGGAAGAGCTGAAAGAGACAGATGGTTTTGAGGAAGAAGATATGAAATTTAATTTCAGACATGTTACATCTGACACGAAATGACAACATGCAACCGGAAATGTCCAGGTAGTAGTTGGAGACATGAAATCAGAGTTCCAGAGGCCTTGATGATATGGAACATCACGCAGGATAGACCTCACTGTGACGAGAATAGATAAACTTTCCAAGGCACAGGGAGCAAAAGCAGCAAAAGGGAGGGGCCAAGACTGAGTCCAGGGTGATGGCCATAGTTAGGGCCAGGTACACTAAACGTATCCAGCTAAGGGAAGAAACAATGGGAGAAAGGCCAAGGGAGAAGCGGTCATTAAAAGCTTCACTGAACTATACAAAAAAATAGAATAAAAAGAGAGAAAAAGAAAGAGATGGGTGATGGAGAGGAAGAAAAGAGATACTTCAGATGGTACCTGAATAAAAATGGTATAGTAGAAAGCATGCTAGATATAGTATTAGAGGATTTGGGTTGAAATCCCAGCTCTGACCCCTACTGACTGTGTGCGTTTGGGTAAATCACTTAATCTCTTTGGGATTGAACTAGATTGCTTCTAACATCCCTTCTACTTCTAAATCTATGATCACCAAAACAAAGATCCAAGACAATTCCAGAGGACCCATGATGAAAAAGGCTATCCACCTCCAGAGAGAGAAGTGGTGAACACTGAATGCAGATTGAACTATACTTTCTTTTTAAACTTACTTTATTTTTCTCCCTTTTTTTATTCTGTGTTTTCTTCTGCAACATGGCTAATATGGAAATGTTTTGCATGACTTCACCTATATAATCAATATCAAATTGCTTGCTTTCTCAAGAAGTGGGGAGGGGCAAGAGAGAGGGAAAAAATTTGAAACTCAAAAATCTTTTTAAATCAAAAGTTAAAAATTTTTTCTATATGTAATTGGGAAATATTTAATGAAATAAAAATATTTTAAAAATAATAAATCTATGATCTTGCAAAATGAAATAAAGACAAACATTGGTTTTTTGCTTGCTTGTTTTTTAATTCATTTGGCTCTATCTTATTAAATGCTAACCGTTTCATGTAAGATTTTAAGTCTATAACAGTTTCTTAAGGTTGAGCAAAAGGAAGGAGAAAAATATATAGAGACAGCATGGTCAAGTGAAGGTTTTTCTTCAAGACTGGGAAACCTTCCCGTGGTTGGAAAGCAGAGGACAAAAAAAGAGGAAGCTCATAGAATCACAGCATTTCAGAGGTAGTACAGATCTCAGTGGCCATCTAGTTCATCCTGAAAGGGAGTTCCAATTACAAGAAGTCTAAAAGTGCTTATTTAGTAACTGCTCAAAGACATTCAATGAAGGCAAACCCACTGTCTCCAGAAGTACTCCAATTTGGGACAGCCAATTGTTAACAATCAACAAACATTTATTAGCAACTACTGTATGCCAGGCACTGTTAGGTACCAGGGATACAAAGACAAAAATGAAACCATCCCTGTCCTCAAAAAGCTTACATTCTATCTGGTAAGATAATATGTAAAAATAGAGGCATACACCAAATACTTTATCAACCAAAGCATTCATTAACCACATACTATGTGCCTGGCACTGTATTACATGCTAGGGATATAAAGACAAAAGTGAGACCTTAAGGAGTTTACAGGATAACTGGGGTGAAAACCTGTGCCTATATAAATAGATATAGAATATCTACAAAATAAACAAAAGGTCATTTGTTGGAGGCAAGGGCATTCTGGTAAATGTTTAACAACTGGCACTCTGGAGGGAAAATGTGCTCATGGCACATTTCTAAGTTTATTCTGCATCATTCCCATCGATCCCATCATTTTCTTAAGTCTAGGTAATTAGCAAAAGAATATATCAAGCCTTGATTTGCAGCATTTTGATGATTTCCAAAGTATAAATGCTCATGCTGATAATTTAACAATCAGCTGAATTTAAAGCAGTTCAAGCTGGCTCTGGCACACTCTTGGGTGGATGGGGGTAGTAGGGGAATCAGGAAGGGCTTCATGAAGAACATAGTGCTTGAATTGAGTTTTGAAGTAAATGAGGTATTACAAGGGGTGGAGCTTACAAAGGAGTGTATTTCAAGAATGGGGAATAGACAGTTCAAAGGCATGGAGGGTGGAGATGAAGTATCATGTGTGAGGAATAGCATGGAAGCCAGTTTGGCTGGACTATAGAGTAAACACACATATAAGGCTAGAAATATAAGCTGGGTTTAGCTTGTAAAGCATTTAAAAAATCAAAATGAAGAATTTATATTTGATCCTACAGGAAATATACAACCTTTGGAGTTTATTGAGTTGAGAAATGGCATGGACAGTCCTGTAATTCAGGAAAATTTCTTTAGCAGCAGTATGGAATTTTTCTAACATTAAGCCCCAGTTTTCCTCTTTATAACTTGTACCAAACCTTTTAGCTGTTCTATGACAGTCCTTCACATGCTTGAAGATAGCTATCCTAGTCTGTCTTGAGTCTTCTCTTTTCCAGGTTAACTAATCCCCTCCCATCATTCTAGTTCTATATGGCAGGGACTCAAGGGTCTTCACCATTCTAATAGCCCTCCTCTGGATGTTCTCCAGCTTATCCTAAACATGGTACCCAGCTGTGGGCACCATATTACAGATAAGGTATGTGTATTAAGACAGAAAACAGCAGGACCAACACCTTCTTACTCCTGGAAGCTCTGTCTTTCATAATGTAGCCCAAGATCACATTAGGTTTTTTTGGTTATACTATCACACTACTGACTCATAGTGAGCTTGTAGTCTACTAAAACCTCCTGGGCTTTTTCAAACTGTTGCCTAATTATGCTACTTGCATTTCATACTTGTAAAGCTTATGTTTTGAACACAAGCATAAGGTTTTAAATTCATCTTACTGAATTTGATCTTATTAGACTTTGCTCAGTGCTCCAGCTTGTCAAGATCTTTTTGGACCTTTGCTGTCATCCAATGTGTTAGCTATTCCTCTCAGCTTTGTGTCATTTGTAAATTTGTTAAGTATGCCATTTGTGCCTTTATCTAAACCACTGAAAAAAGTTAAATACTAAAGGGTAAAAGCACAGATCTCTGGGGCTTTCCATCAGAGACCTACTGCTAAGTTGATGCTAAATCATTAATACCTACTTTCTGAGTCTGTCTATACAATCAATTCCAAATCCAACTCATTTCATGATTGTCTAGCCCAATGGTGTCAAACTCAAATAGACACAACTGCCACTGGGTTGCATGTTAACTTAGAAAACCACAAATTAACATTGTATTGCATTTTTATTTATTTTATTAAAAATTTCCAAATTACACTTTAATCTGGTTCTGGGTGCAGGAGGACCAGAGGTTTGATACCTCTGGTCTAGCCCACATCTCTCCATCTTTTCCATAAAAAAAATATACTTACCAAATGCTTTGCTAAAATCTAGATAAATAATATCCATAGCATACTCTTGATCTAACAAATTAATAATCCTGTCAAAAATGGAAATAAGGTTAGTCTGGCATGACCTGTGCTTGATGAAGCCACATCTGTTCTTTATGTTACTGCTTTCTTTTCTAGGTGTTCCCAAACCATCAGTCAAACTTACTAGCTTTTGGATTGCACACTCTATCCTCAATCTTTTTTTTTTTTAAATGAAACATTTGCCCTTTCTTAATCCTACAATTCTTTTCCTTTTCTCTCAGATTTTTCAAGTATCACTGACAGTGACTTGGCAATCAGTACTGGACGGTGTAGTTCATCTGGGCTAGGTGATTTCAATTTTAATCCAGGCAGCCAGGAGAAATTGAGAAGGATTCAATTCAATTAACACTTATTAAACAAATATGTGTCCAGCACTGTGACACAAAGCTAAATAGTCCATAGCCCCAAGGAGCTTATATTCTACTTGGATAAATAAGACATAAGTTGATAAATACAAATATGTGTGCATGTGTGTGTGTGTGTGTGTGTGTGTGTGTGTGTGGTGTATATGTGTATACACACATATACATATATATGTTATCATCAAGATGGTTTTGGGGGAGAGACAGGGAAAGCACTAACAAAAGAGAGAATCAGGAAAGGCCTGAGGTAGGAGGTAACATGAGCTAAGCTTTGAAGGTAGGCTAATCATCCGACATTAGGAAAGAAAGCATTCCAAATCTGAGATGCTAGTGCAAAAGCATGAAAGCAGGAGCCAGAATTCATGTATATGAAAGAGCAAATAGGCTAGTTTGACTAGAAGGCAGAATGAAGGGGAGTAATGTGTAATTAGGCTGGAAAGGATAAGATTAAGCCAGACTATGAAAAGTTTTAAGTTGCCACACACAGAGGAGTGTGTCTTATTTCCTAGAACAAAAAGAAGCCATTGCCCTTTCTTGATGAAAGGAGTGATATTACCAAAGCTCTGCTTTGAGAATATTGATTTCACAGCTGTGTGGAGGATGGATTGGAGATGGGAGAGACCAGAAGTAGAGATATTATTTAGAAGACTATTGCAATAGTCCAGGCAAGATATAATGAGGGTGGTAGTGTCTTCAACAGAAATACAGAGGTTAGAGTGAGATCTGGGGAAACATAATGAGTTATGTAAAGGGCACAAGGGAAGTACTTAGCTAGGAGTTAGTCAGTGATACATACCTGAGTGTTACACTCTGTGCAGTTCTGGTATACTGCTTTCATTTTCTTCATTATATCAGTTGCAGGAACTCCTTCTGAAGGAAGATATGCCCGGCAATAAGGACATGTCCACTTACTGTTCCTCAGGCTTGTAGAAATACAGGAACGGCAGAATCTACCCCCAAACAAAGCAAAACATATCACTTTCCTCAAAAGGTTTGGCAAAGTTTTCACAATTACAGCATCCTTTTTATTATTTTTTTCAAATACTTAGACTCACAAATTAAATGCTTCACATAGCATTTTAGACTCCCAAGAAGAAAATTTCTCCTTCCAACAGCTCTGTTTTGAGGGAGACATTTGACATCACCTAGACTTCACTATAAGTATAATTGGAATGAAAGGCCAAGAGTAGACACAGACTGGAATCAAAAAGAAATACAGTCAAATGGAGAGCTTTAATACCAATGCTATTTCATTGTGACTTAACTTTTCCTTCTCTTCTCTTCACCCAAGACATTAGGTAGATAGATGTCTCCTTACTCTGTGGGTTCTTATTTTGGGTATGAGAAAATGTAACCCTCTAATACCAATAACACTACAATAAATAAATAAAACTTCCACATTAGAATATAAGCTCCTTGAAGGCAGGATCTATCTTTTTGCTTTTATTTATATGCCCAGTGCTTAGTACAGTGCTCGGCACATTGTAAGTGTGTAATAAATGCTTATTGACAGACTGATTGAAATAGATAATACAATTATTTTCATTAGCTGTACCTCAAATCATAAAGTAATCTAATAAAATCATCTCTATCAAGAATGTTTTAAAGAAATATTGTTTATCCAGATTTAATATTTACAGTAATCCTTACTGAAATCTTAACAGAATCAAGGAGTAAATGAATATAAAATCTCATCATGTTACTAAATATTGAATATTACAAGAATAAAAAATCTAGATTCATACATGAATGACAGTTGACACTTGCATAGCCTTGTTAAAGGTAGGTTTGTAAAGTGTTTTAGATACATATAGGTAGATTGCTGTAGCTACATAACAAGTACATATATATAATTTATATTTTATATGTAGGTGATTATAAATATTATCTATATATTTCTTTAGTCTCTCCTGACTCAAAGTCCAGCCTCTTTTCTATTATACACCAGATACATAGTTTAGAATGCATGGCATGATGCATCTTAAACTACCCTGTATAAAGGAACAGGATCTATACTGTTTTTGGAATTACATAGTGGGTTAATCTTTGGCAATGGAAGATCAACATAGATATTTTTAAAGTTCATTTTCCTTGTCTGGGTTTTCAAAAATTGAAAGGTAGATTCTTTGAACTCTGGTCCACTGAGCTTAACAACACAATTCCTGGAAAAATTCTAGATAGAACACATTATTAAAGTGATAGTTCATAAGCACTTAGAAACAGAAGGGATGATTGCTACTGTAACTCACCAAATCTGCACACCAAGGTTTAAAACCATGTTGTCATCCAACTCCTATAACTACTGGGTTGCCAAATCTTGTCCTATTTATCTATTCCATAACATCTTTCCTATTTGTTCACTTCTCTCTACTCACATAGCTACGGCCCTAGTTCAGATCCTTATCCCCTCTCATCTGTGCTCTAACAACAGCCTCCTACTAAAGCCTCCCTGAGTCAAGTCTCAGATCCATCCTCCACAGAAATCACAAAATGATTTTCCCAAAGCTCAGGTTTGACCATGTCATTCCCCTATTGCATAAGCTCTAATTTTTTTTCAGTTACTTCTAGGATCAATTAAAAACTCACATGCTTGACATTTAAACCCTTACTAACCTGCACCCATTCTACTTTTCCAGCCTTATTCCCCATTGCTTCCCTTTATATACACTCTTCCAGCCAAATGGACATTTTTATCATTCCTTACACATGACATTCTATATTCCATCTCTGTACTTTCACATTGGCTATTCCCCATACCTATAATGCTTTTTGTCCTCATTCTTACCCCTTACACTCTAGCTCAGTTCATCCTTCTTCAAGGCTTCAACTTCAAGGCTCAACTCAAGTGCTACTGTCTAATTTTTTGCTGACTCCTCCAAATTACTTGGTATCTATTTTGTAAATACCTATATATGTATGTGTCTTTCCTCACTAGACTGTAACCTCCTAGAGGGCAAGAATTGTTTCATTTTTGTATTTATGTCCAGGCTGCTAAGCCACCCATAGTGCCTGTTATACAATAGGCATTTAATAAATGCTTGTCAATTAATGGAATTACAAAACCCAAAGAATAATGATTAATAGATAAATGTCAAGCCAGAGTCCTAGCTTGAGCAGAGTGCCTTAGACATCTCTTCTTGGACCTGTGCTGCTCAACATGTTTAATGATTTGGATGAAATAGATGATATGCTTATAAGGTGTGTGAACAACATGAGATGGAAAAGGGTAGCTAACATATTGGATGACAGAACTGGTATCCAAAAGTATCTCAACAGGCTAGAAGGATGGATTGAGTCTATGATGATATTTTTTTCTTTTTACTAAATTTTTATTGTTTTTTTATATTACCTAAATTTCCCCAAGTCCCTCCCCTTCCAGAGATCCAGACTTCATAATCATCAAAAGAAGAAAACATTGATATCATGCTCTGCATTTTAGGCACAAATCTGTCAGAAACAGATTTGTTTAATTCATCACTATTCTAATATCTAAGCATTTCTAGCTTAGGAAGAAAAAAAGAGAGCTGACCAAACTGCAGTAGTCCTATGTTCTTGGATATGTCGCTCCTATTAAGAGAGTATGAGGTAATATTTACAGCAATCTCATAGAAGAAAAATCACAATGTTAAAATACAGTATGGAGGATAATATTTCAGAATAGTTGCCCACCAATTGTCATTATCCCATTTCTACCTGGACCGTTAGCCTCAAAGGTTGACAAACAATTTCTTTCTATAATCAGTACCATAAGTTAATATCAATATCATAATCCTTTCTGAACAGAGAAAGGTATGCCATAGGCTTCAGAGGATGAGTAAAGAGGAGACTTTCCTTAGATAAATAAGTAGCCCACTTTAGGGAATTAAGAAAGCAATATTATTTTTTTCATCTTCTATGTCTTAAACATAAATTTTATTGGTGTCTTTTTGTTTCTGCACTGCCTAAATTTCTCCCAGAATTCTTCCCCTTCCTTCATCTTAGAGAGCCATTCTATATAAGTAATTTTTTTTAAAAAGAGGAAGAAAAAAAATTTTTTTTACAAAGCTGATCAATATACCAAAACCATCTGAAAATATATGTAATGCTCCACACCCTTGGATCTCCAATATCTACAAAAGGTGGTGGAGAGAGATGTTTTCTCATATCTGGATTAATTGCCACTCTTAATCCATTTCCTTAAGAAACTACCTTTTGTTCTCAACTTCATCTAAGGAGACACATCTGGAAAGGGTTTCAGCAGTGAATTATTGATATCTTAATACTTCCAGCTGAACTAAAAATGGGGTTATTAATGTTTCCATGAAAAAAAAATTAAGAAGAAAAAAAGAGGAAGATGAGAAAAAATGGAAAAATAGGTCAATACACTGAAAAAAATCTGACAATATCAGTAATGTTCCCACCTTTGCACAGGGATGAGGGGAAAGGTATCTACTCACCTCTCTCCCTTGGAACAAGTTTGTTATGATGAAAATTTAATAGAGAAAAATATTAAGTCCTACATTTCAGCTAAAAAAAAATCCATTTAAGAGATATGAGATGGAAGTTTGGGTAGATAAAAATTCACATGAAAAAGACTTGAGGATTTTAGTGGACTGTCAAAGCAATATGAATCAAGAGTGTGTTCTGGTAGATTAAATGACCTAAGGATTTTTAGCCTTGAGAAGTGAAGCTTATAAATAAGTACTAGAAAGAGGAGGAATTCAACTAGCTGTGTTTGGTCTCATGAGGGTAGAATTAGGAACAATGGATGGAAGCTGCAGAAAGGCAGATTCAGGCTGGATAGGAATAAAAACTTCCCCCAAAATTAGAACTCTTCCAAAGTAGGATGTGCTGGTTTAGTTGGTAATGAGTTCCTGATCACTAAGAGTCTACAAGCAATAGCTAGCTAACAACGGGTTGGAGGAGGGGGGGAGAAGTTCAGAAGGGTTCTTGTTCAAATACAAGCTGTACCTCTGAGAATCCTTGCAACTCTGTATCCCCAGAATTTTTTTTTCTTAAAGCCTGTCATCCTTCTTGATCCAACTCTCTTTTTTTTTAAAGTATCTCAGGCTATGAAAGCCTACCTATCTTTTCTCTTAACTCTCTGAAACCTGGTTTTCTAAAATTTAGGCTGTTTTCAACTTTCCCCTCTTTATCAATAACCCTATGACAGCACATTCATTTTTTCTCAGTGTTCTCATCATCTTCACTTTATCAGCAATCTCCTCTTTATTGAGCAGAATCAGGGCCAGAATAGCCATTCTCAATGCTTGCTTTAGGAGAACAAGTCAAAAATGTATCAGATGTTTTATTTTTAGCATATGGAGACCTGGATGTGCTGGGCGAGTCAACAAGCAAAATGCTCCATTCTGAGGACTACATGAGGAGCTAGGAAGAAATGCAAAGGTCAAAGTCAGAACTCCACAATATACTAGATCAGGGGCCTAGGCAGGAAAATTTGAGTGGGGGAATCCAAAGCCAACGATGGTTCACATAGAACCAGAGGAAGAGCACTGGACTAGAGACAAACTTCTCCAGACAAAGAATGAGCCTGAGGAAACATAACTGTATGGTAGCTGGGTGCTGGTCACCACTCCTTCCCTCAAACAACTAAAGACAATGCAGCTGCAGGCTAGGGCAGGTCCTCCTCACAACAAAAGACTGCCTCAATGCCATCGTGGGGATCCACTATCAGTGATTTATCATCCATTTCCTCTTTGCACCCCAAGTGAGTAGCAACCAATTTCGAACAGATTTGGATTAGGGCTGATAACAAAAAAGATTAACAAAAAAGGGGAAAAGTCTCATTTGCACTTCTATACTTTCTATTTGAAGTTAAATTCAACATGAAACCACCTTGTTTAGGCAGCACAAGCAGTTGAAAAAATTTTGAATGTGGAAGGGAACCAAATAAGTTTGCCAAAAGGAGGGATATGGAAATTCTGTTCACAACCAGAACAATGAGGACAGATTTGTCAAAACAAAGAATGGGAAAGCTGATTGGAAGGAAAATTGTGCTGGTGGTAATGGGCAGTTTTATAACTTTTTCCAGTTGCTTGGCTTCCTCTCCACTAGAACTGAACAAAGAGAAAAACTAAACAAAAAGATTAACATTTTGCAAAAGGATCAACAAGAATCTAGCAATCTGAAAGTACCTTTCATCTGAAACACCACCAATAAAAGAGAAATACTGCCAAGGGTAAGCTTTACACGATCTAATCATTCAAAAAACCAGGACAATAATGGGCAGTTCCAAGTTACTCAGTCCAGTCCAAAAAGGAAACCTCCAAGCCTAGATGGCCCATTTGCATATAAATATATTTTAAAACATAAAAAAAAAATCCAGACTTGTAAACGAGTTATCTTTTATTGCTCATTATCTTATTCTTTTATACATAAATTTGCCCAAGAACAAGTGAGGTGAGTAAGACCTGTGGCTGCTAGGGGATAGAGTGCTGTATTTGGAGTCAGGTAGATGAGTTCAAATCTGGCTTCAGACAAATATTAGCTGTGTGACCCTGTGCAAGTCACTCAACCTTGGTCTGCCTCAGTTTTCTCATCTCTAAAATGGGGATAATAATAGCACCTACCTCCAAGGGTTGTTGTAAGGACAAAGTAAGGTACTTGTACAATTTTTTATAAATCATAAAGGGTCACATAAATGCTACTTATAATTATAATTAAAGGCCTTAGACACTACCAGTGATGTTACCTTAGGCAAATCATTTGAGGGTCTTAGAGCCTCAGGTAACTTGCTAAGATTTCTAAATGAGTTTCACCCTTCTAGTGAAGAAGAATTCCCCACCACAAATAGAATACTGGCAACAGGAAATAGTTATACCTCAATTATGATTAAAGATGGCATTTCACTATAAACATACTTTCAATATACTATACAATTTTAAACTATCACCACCCCCACTCCCCCAAGCTGAAAGCATTACATTTCTATTATGTATCTCTGGAATACATGCCTATGACACAGTATAAAAACGTGAAAAAGATTCTTACTATATCTATATGGCAAACCCTGGGAATCTTTTCAGCCTATTTTTATAATATGGAGGAAGGAGCAAGGAGGAGGGAAGAGGGAGCACAGATCTCAAATACTTCAATGTTTACAAATTAAATACTCTGTGGAACATGCCCTTTAAAAAGTAACTTAATTCTATATCATATCTTTATCTATATCATAACTTTGCTTAGATATTACCAGCTCAATAATAGGCCAAATTAGATCAATCTGTATTCCCCAACAATCTCCTCCAATTTTCCATCTTCACATCTTTTTTCAGGCTGTTTCCTGAGCCTCGAATGCTTTCTCTCCTGCCTCTTCCCAAGGTGAACTGCTATCCATAGTCTAAAGCCAATTTAAATGCCAGCTACTCCATGAAGTCTTCCTTGATCTTTAGGTACTTACTAACCATGTTTCCCCCTAGACTTCACCTAGCTTTGCCTCTGCTAACAAAGTAAATTATAAAATAAGAGAGATTAGATTCATTAAAAAACAAAACAAAACCCATACAATCATAACTGAAGCAATGGGTGGGAGTGGCAAAAAAACCCACTGTGGCTTGACCTAAGTTAAGACTTCCTAACCACTGGAGCTTTCCCAAAATGGAATAGGACTTTTCCTCACTAGGTTTTCAAGCAGAGGCCATATGTTGAAGAGAGGATGCTTGTTGCGAATGGGTTGGACTAGAATGCAGCCCATCCCCACCCCTCCACCCCCAGTTCCTATCCAATCTGGAGACCTTCATGTGGCAAGATCAGTTGGTTGCATAAACCCCTCTAGCTAAAACACATGGATAGCATATGTTTTTATCCCGTTTTGTATTCCCAGGGCTTAGCAAAGTGCTTGGCACAAAGTAAGCCCTTAATTAATCTTTTTGATTGATTGTGATAGTGGAGTTTTGGTTGTGGAATCAAGTAGCATACTTTGCACAATTGCTGAGTTGTGTGCATCTAAGCACTAGTAGAGTTCATAGATTTAGAGCTGGAAGAGAATGACCTTAGAAGGTCATATAGTCCAGTCCCCTCACTTTACAGATGCAGAATGTGAGATTAAGTGATTTGCCCAAGGTTGCAGACAGCCAAGAGTTGAAGCCACATTCTCTGGCTCCAAACTGAGTGTGCTTCAGCCACTAATAGTTGTTCAGTAGTGTCTGACTCATTACCCCATTTGGATTGTTTTTAAGCAAAGACACTTGAGTGATTTGCCATTTCCTTCCCCAGCTCGTTTTGCAGATGAGGAAACTGAGGGAGAAACAGGGTTAAGTTACTTGTCCAGGGTTACTAGTAAGTGTTTGAAATCACATTTGAACTCCAGGCCCTACGCTCTATCCACTGAGCCACCTAGCTGCCCACTTTCCATTAAACAGCCTACTAAAGACCAAGAAAATTCTAAGCAACTGCATTTCTGGTCTGGGCAGCTAGGTGGCGCAGTAGATAGAGCGCGGGGCCTGTGAGTGAGGATGACCCAAGTTAGAATGTGACCTCAGACACTTGCTTACCAGTGGTGTGACCCTTGGCAAGTCACTTAACCTCCATCAGTCTCAGTTTCCTTATCTGTAAAAGAGGATAATAATAACACCTACGTCCCAGGATTGCAGTGAAGATAAAGGGGGATATTTGTAAAGCTCTTTGTAAACATTAAAGGGAGATGTGTATATTGTATATATGTACATATACACTTACTTGGATTACACATTAAGGAATTAGAAATCATGCAGAACAATGGACTCATATAAAGCTCAGTCGGAATAAGTAATTTGAAAATGTGAAACCACTTAACCTATTATATATAACTTCCTATTAAGCATTTTCTTTTCTCTTTAATGCTAGATAACCTTGACCCTTTTGTCTCTTGCTTCATTTAAAAAGACTTAATTCCCAACAGGAGGTATTTTGTTTAAACTACCAAACTTCAGCCTAACTTTAACAAAGTAGCAAGGCAAGAGACTTGGGCGCTATGACTACGGTAATTTCACCTTCAGCCGGAGAAGGGGTGGGAGGGAGGAGGAAGTGGGGTTGGGGTTTGCTCGGTCAGTTGTTTTCGACAGAGGAGGAAGCGCTGTGGGCGTTTCACGACACGTGCGCAGCCCCAACAGAACGCTACATGTCTGGGTCTCTGGGGCTGAGGGAGGCACAGCGCCTGCCCGGTTCTGTTTACTTGGAGAACTGCGCTTGGCCACTTCCTAGTTGCATGGTCTAGTCGGGATTAGCCCTTGACAGAGACAGTTGCCCCTGTCGATCCAGAAGACACCGGCATTCCATGTAGACGCAGAACCGAGCGCGGACCCGGAGCTGGGCTGCCAACCTACCGCAAGCATCCTACCTACTAGCCCCGGAGAACCGTCTAGCGGGACCGGACTGGCCACTGACCCATTAACCTCCAACAGAGACCCAGGCTCAGATTTGACTTAGACGCAAAAAGTAGCCGATTTGTCTCTCCCTTTTTCTCCCAATTCTTGCGCCACCTTCGGACAAGGCATTTTCCCCAGCCGAGACCCGACGGGTCTAGGTTTTATAGTGCCACACCTCCAGCAGAAGCTCATATTATTCGCTGAGCGCGGTTTTACTAAGTTAAACCTCTTAATGCTCTCCACTGACCTAGACTAGCCCCCTTCATCCTTCCTCCCAGCTGAGCTCTGGCCGGGCGGGCGCCATCAACAGGAGTCTCGCACCCCGGGCCGCTCACCCCTCACTTACACGTGGCCGCAGCGGGTCCGTAGGGGCTGATGCAGCACTTCGAGGCAGACCGAACAATCAAACGACGTGATCGGCAGCTCCACTTCGCTTCTCCTGGGCAGGGGTGATGGGGTGGCCCTGGCAGCTGGGGCTGCTCGGCCGCTGTCACTGCTCAGCGCGGAACCCATTGCCTCCCTCCTCTCTCGCCCAGACAGCTGCTGCTAAGCTGGGTGCCTTTGCTTCAATTGTTTTGTTGTCCTGCGGTTAAGGAAGGAAGTCCCAGCCCAGCTGGGATCGCCGCCTCCCTCCCCCCACAGGCCTGCTCTCCGGAGCCAACCCCCGCCCCTTCTAACCTTCCAAGTGGAGAGTTTTGCCAGTAACTCCGCCAGTTAGAAATTATCATCTTCCCCCAGCTACCCCCAGCTATAGGGAGGAGGAGGCAGCAACAGCAGCAAGTACTGCAGTGTCCTCCCCTCCCGGGAGGCTTGAAACCTGAAACCCAGACTGCACAAAGGAGTACCAGCTGCTTACTGTTAGGTCTTCCTCTCTCTAACCGAGAGAAAGCTGGGATGTGAACCTTGTTTTAACCTTCAGGTTTCTATTTGAGATGGCTCTGTTCACTACATCAGGAACCCTGTTCAAGCAAAGTTCAGGCTGTTTCCATTTCCCAGGAATATACAGTCCTTAACCACAGTGGGAAGGTAAGGGGGTCGAGAAGCAAATAATTTAATTGCAATTTAGCGGTTAGGTGCTCTAATACTCCTGAAACTAGGGTTCAAAATCGTGATAGATAATAAGAATTTGAAGTCTAGATGGGATCTGTAAAGACCGCAACTAAATGAGATACTGTAAGTCCTATACTATAAGAACCATATATAATATAGTTCTTAATAAGCTCATTAACTCTAAAAATTATTAAAGCACTCACTGTGCAGTAAAATGTTAGTTACTTAAGGGCAGGGACTTGTGTATGTGTGTGTATCTTCAGCACCTTCCCTTGTATGCTCTATAAATTTTGTTGACTCAAATTTCATGGAGGAGTGCTGTACTAGGTAATGAGGAAGATGGAGAGTTTAAATAACACAATGCTTATGTACTCAAGGAACTTAGAGTCTAATGGGGTAAGACACAAACAGCTCCTTCTTTGAGTTTGAAAGAATTTCAAAGGCTATCAGATTGATCCTAGTCTATCTAAACAAGAATCCCCTCTATAAAATACCCATCAAATGGACAGCCAGCCATTATTTGAAGACCTCTAAATAAGGGAGAATCCACTACCTCCCAAAGCATCCTGTTCACTTTTGAATCCTACTGTTAGGATGTTTTCCCTTATATTGGGCCTAATTCAAATGAAATGATATTTGTAAAGGGCTTAACACAGTGTCTGGGACATAATAGGTCTTATATAAAAGCAAGCGAGCTCTTAGTCTTCTCTTCCCCAGACAACACACACACACACACACACACACACACACACACACACACACACACACACACACGCACACATTTGTGATGCTGCTAGGCATCACATTGCATAGGACTCTGAGCCTGGAGTCAGGAAGATCTGAGTTCAAACTTAGTCCCTTAACCTCTGTGCCTCAGTTTTCTCAACTATAAAATGGGTTAATGATAGTACCTACCTCCCAGGGGTGTTGTGAGGATCAAAATGTGATATTGGAAAGCACTTAGTACAGTCCCTTACACATAGGTAGCATTATATAAATGCTGCTGCTGCTTCTTCCTGTTTCTTCTCCTCCTCCACCTCCTTCTCCTGCTCCTCCTCCTCCTTCTCATCATCAATATTGTTTAATATGACTTGACTACATTGAGAAAAGCAGTATGAAGCTGAACTTTGAAGCCAGGAAGACCTGGGTTCAAGTCCTGCTTCTGACACATACTGGCTGAGTGACTGAATAAATCACAATTTCTCAGTGTTTTGCTGCTGCTGCTGCTGCTGCTGCTGTTTGTCCTTTGTTCTTCAAGAGGGTGATGACTTGAGGGAAGTGATGGCATGACAGGCAAGTGAATTGGATTTAAGTGAGGAAAGGCTGTGCAAAGTCACCAGCCTTACTTTCTCCTCCAGAGCCATCCTGATCAGTGCTCTAGGCAGCTTGAGAAAGTTCCTTGGTAGACGTTCTTTAGCTAGAACTTGATCCATGAACTCAGAGATCTCCTTCCTATTCTGTTCCCTCCCCACTAACTATATTCCCTGGAATATAGACTCCTTGAGAGTAAGGATTGTTTCTTAGAAGGCCCTTAATAGTTTTTTGCTTGTTTGCTTGATCCTAGCCATCCTCCTCTGGATTAATCTCCTATTTTTTCACTGCCCTTCTTAAAATGGGGCTCCAAGAACTGAACACAATCCTGCTTATGTGTGATCAGTGCAGAGTACAGTGTAACACTACATCCTACATGCTAGAACATGTATCTTTTAAAGCAGCCAGATATCTCATTACAATTAGTTAAGTAACAGTTTAAAGTATTACCCTGCTTGAAGGCATTTGCATTTTAATAAGTATTTCCCAAACAGGTTCTGATCCTGGAAGGCAGTGTGGTATAGTCAGGCATACACTGACCAATGTTAAACAGCTGGCTCTCTGAAATTTAATCTGCATTGTTAAAATTTTCTCTGCTTTCTTTCTTTTCTTTTCTTTTCTTTTTTTTTTTTGCTTTCTTAAGTCTAGACAATCAACACAATAATAAATCTAGCTTTGATTTGTGGCATTTGCATATTTCCTATTTGAATATGAAGTAGCCCATCCTGAAAATTTAACATCCAGCTCTCAAGAAGCTATTGGAGGCTGGTTCCAGCATACTCCTGGGGTAGTGGATCGAGGTGGCCTCAGAGTCAGTTGGGGAAACTTAGGTTAAAGTCCTTTCTTTGTTACTTAATACACACTGGATGTATGATCTTGCTCATGTCACTTTAACTTCTCAGTGTACCAAGCAACTCTTCAAACTATGAGTTGTAGGGTAAGTGGGGGCCCACATTGGTGGAGGCTACCAGGAGTTCTCTATATGGATGAAATCACAGACCTAGTTAAAAAAAATAAAAGAGCATATGGACTTCATTGTGTTTTGTTTATATTATTATGATAACTTCCTAATTGCTCTCCCTGCTTTTAGTCTCTCCTCTTTCCAATCCATCATCCAGACAGTTGTCAAAATAATGTTCCTAAGGTATAGATCTGAAGATGTCACTTCTGTTCAAACATCTTCAATGGCTCCCCATTGCCTATAGGGTGAAACATAAATTTCCTGGTCTGGCATTTCAGGTCCTCTACAATCTGAATCAAACCTATCCTTCCAGCCTTATTTCATATGATTTCCCTTCACAAACTCTATATCCCAGCCAAATGGGAATGGCTTTTTCCTTTCATTTCCAGTCTTTCTGAATCTACCCAGCCCTGCCTGGAAAGATAATCAGGACGCCCGGGCGCGCGCACACATACACACATACACACACACACACACACACACACACACACACACACACACACACCCTCCTTATCTCTACCTCTTAGAGTCCTATTTCTTTGTTTTGTTTTGGTTTTTGGTGAGGCAATCAGGGTTAAGTGACTTGCCCAGGGTCGTATAGCTAGTAAGTGTCAAGTGTCTGAAGCCAAATTTGAACTCAGGTCCTCCTGATTCTAAGGCCAGAGCTCTGTCCACAGGGCCACCTAGCTACCCCCATGTATTCCCTTAAGGTGTAACTCTGGTGCTACCTCTTCTGTGAAGTGTTCTCTGAGTTTCCCAATAATTGGTGCTCTGTCCTTTTTCAAATTATTTTGCATTATACTTATTTATATATGTAACACAAGCCTCGAAGCCCATTTATTTATATGAGGTTCATGCCTATCTGAGGGGTAGAGCTGGTGAAAGAGAATACTCATGTTCCAAACTCTCTTCAGTTCCCCAAAGGAAAAGAAAGACTCTGACAAGAAGCTGATATATTTGCATTATACTCCTGTATTTATTGTATCCTTCTAGGAGGAGGTGAGCTTCTTCAGGCCAAGAAAGGTTTTGTTTTTGTATCTGTAGTGCCTTGTACATAGTAACCCTTGTTTGTTTGTTTGGCGAGGCAATTGGGGTTAAGTGATTTGCCTAGGGTCACACAGGTAATAAGTGTCAAGTGTCTGGTCTGAGACCGGATTTGAACTCAGGTCCTCCTGACTCCAAAGCCAAAGCTCTATCTACTGTGCCACCTAGCTGCCCCTCATAGTAACCCTTAATAAATATTTTTTTAAAAAATTATTGAATTTATAAGGGGTAAGAGAGGATTATACTGGAAGAAAGAGAAAGGGAGAGGTAGAATGAAGTAAATTATCTCACATAAAACAGACAAGAAAAGGCTTTTACAGTGGAGGGGAAATGGGGGAAGGTGAGAGGGAATGAGTGAATCTTATTCTCATAGGATTTGGCTTAAAGAGGGAATACCATACACACTCAGTTGGGTATGGAAATCTATCTTACCCTACAGGAAAATAGGGGGGAATGGGACAAGAGAGCAGGAGGATGATAGAGGGGAGGGTAGATTGTGGGAGGGGTTAATCAGAAGCAAACACATCTAAGGACAGAGAGAATAGAATAAATGGGAGGGGCAAGATAAGATGAAGGGAAATACAGTTAGTTTTTCACAATATGACTGCTATGGAAGTGTCTTGCATTACTACACATGTATAACCTGTATTGAGTTGCTTGCCTCCTCAATGAGGGTGGGTGGGGGAGGGAGGGAGGGAGGGAGAAAATTTGGAACCCAAAATTTTAAAAACAAAAATTAAAAATTGTTTTCACATGCAACTGGGAAATAAGATATACAAGAAATGGGGTATAGAAATCTATCCTGCCCTATAGGAAAATAGAAGGGGAAGGGGAGGAGATAGAAGAGAGGGCAGATTAGGAGAAGGGGTATTTAGAATGCATACCATCTTGGGGTGGGGGGGAGGGACAAGGGAGAAAATTTGGAACTCAAAATCTTGTGGAAGTGAATGTTGAAAACTAAAAATAAATTAATTAAGAAAAAAGAAAATAACCTCTCCCTTCTATTTCAAATCAATGTAAAATATTCCACAATAAAAAGCCATTTTGATTAAAAAGGAAAAAAAATTATTGAATTTAATAGTTGGGCTTAAATTATTGGTTTATCATAGTCCATCCTCTTATTTCAAGGAAGAATTGTCATTAGATCTTAACCAATCTAAGTAAAGGAAAGTCAATTAAAAAAATCCTTTGAGAGGAGAAAAGGAGAAAACTAACAAACAGGTTATCATTTCTAAAAAGAGGAAAATGAAAGAAAATGGTTTTAAATTGCTTCATGAAATATTTAGTAAGATATTAAAAAG